TGTTTCTTGTTTTTTTTGTATTCTTTTTTTTTTAAATGTTTTTTATAAGACCAAAAATTTTAGGTACTCGTAAGTAGAAGACGTATTATGTATGTTACTTCAGCAATCTATAAAAATAAAAAATTAATTCTCCTTTTTCTGTTTATTGTCTTTGAAATATGATAACCTGATTACGTAGAAGAGGATTTACAGGACACAGAGAAATAAAAACCATTAAATTCGTCGCGACGTTTCGATACTTTCATTGTATCTTCTTCAGGCGAAGAATTCTTGTTGGTTGAGCGTGGAAAGCATAGCACAATCAAGGAAGAAGAATTCTTCCTTGACTGTGCCATGCTTCTGTGTCCTGTAAACAATCTTCTACGTAATCAGGTTATTAAAAATTAATTGTTTTGCATTTTTCTAAACTATTGTTTTATATAAGGTGTTTTGTTTTTATTTTTGCAAATTTAAACAGGTGAAAGGATATTCAATTTTAAGATAAAAGTTTGCTATGAACATGTATCAAACAATACTATGTAAGAAAGCTACATCCTTTGAAAAAGTTGTGTTTCTCCAAAATTTCTGGAAACATTTTAGATAAAATTACAAAATTTGTTACAGGTAATAACCTTTATACCCAAAGATCAAATGTCTTAAAACTGAATATTTTATAACTTGTTTAAATTTGTAACAATAAAAACAGAACACTGCTGTATCTCTTGTGTTTGTTAATTTTTTTCTTTTTTATTTATTTGTTTCTTATTTTGTATTTTTACTTTTTGTCTTGGTCTCTACTTTTATATTTTGATTCTGGCTTTTTATTTAAGCCAAAGAATGAGAACTAAATAGTAACTCTCTCATTTTTTATTTGTAGTTTAAATTACTTGTCTTTTCCACATTTTTCTTGCATCTTCTTAGTTTTCGATTGCTTGTTTTTTGTTTATTTTTATTTAAATTTTGCTTTATTTATTTGTTTTTATTTAATTATTTTTTAATTTTATATTATTTTTCGTAACTAGGAGATACAATAAAATTAGATGAAAGAAAAATAAAGCTATGGTAGCTGTTTTAAATCGGTAAAGTTGTAAAGAGAAGGCCGCCTATAATTTTAACAAAATAAAACGTTAACATTTTGTTCCCATCATAGTCTTGTCACAACTATTGATTATCTTTGGTTTTCAATTAACAGCAATTAAGCTCGACTACGTGATTTGCATGTAATTATAGTAATTATCCCAGAACTGATTATGTTTAGGGTTGGTTAAATTTCGGATGATATATGATCGCTAAAACCCACGTCATGGTTATGAGATATTACTGAGGTTTATTGCAATTTTCTACTAAATTGATCATTTTTTATTTTTTTTTTTCTCATAGTTAATTAAAATGTGCCTTGACAAGACTACTAAAAAACGCAATTTCTTTAAGTAACAAGACTACACTAAATTTCACATTTGTTGCAGAAAATCGTCCTGCAAGAAAGAATTACAATAAGCTGACAGGAGAAGACGTTTCCAGGCTCAAGACTGACCATCTCGATAATGTGGAAGCCTGCAAAGAGCAAGGCTGTACAACGCATGATCCGAATAACGAGACAGATACAGATTCAGATTTTACAGATATAGAGCTAGATGATAGGGATGATTTTTCGGACGATTCCGATTACGGTAAGTGAGTTTGTAAAATTGAATTTTAAAGTTTGAATCCTTAAATACGATTCTGAATTATTCGAGTTTGAAACGTCAGCTGCGCTTGAAACCGTTATAAATATTTAAAAACATGTTTCGAGATCGGAAAAATGCAAATAAATCGGACGAGTTTACCGAAGACACGTTCACAGCGGCAGATTAAAAGAGACAAGTTTAATGGAGAATTTGAAAATTGACTCGGATCGCGTGAGATAAATAAATTACATATGTAGATCTCGCAAAATATAAGCTTTGAGACTTTTTTATTTAATAAAATATAAATTTGAATGAAACATCATATACAGCGTGTCCCAGCTAGTTGAAAAGGTCTATTAGTGACCTGTAATGGTAAAATTAAAAAAAAAAAACTCTATAGTACCTTGACAGATACGTTACTAGTCTAGTGCATCACCTGAGATTATTTTCAACCATCCAGCATGTCCCAAAAGTAAGTTACGATACAAACTTGTGTTTTTTTTTTTAATGAAACACCGTATGTTTCTTTGCATTTTTGGATGTAGCCTTTTAAAACAATGTTTTCACGCTAAACTTTTGTTAGTCGATTTTGCTTAGTTTTAGAAATAAGAAGGTTTTTTGGACGAAAACATGCACTTTTTAAAAATTTTATTACACAAAAACTAAGACAGCTAGAACAAATTTTTTCTTACTTCTACAAAGAAGAAAGTACAGAATTTAAAGCTGTAACAATTTTTTAGTGTTTTGCATTTGTAAAGAATAATAAATTAAGAAGTTTGTTAAAAGTTAAATAACTTAAAAAATTTAAAAGGAAAACCCTATTTTTTATTTTTGCATGTAATAGATTGATAAATTGTCTATCTAAAAAAAAAAATTTAACGTCTAGAATTGATAAATAAAAAGATATTTAACATTGAATATTAATTGTAGCAACAATGCCTATCAATTTCTGAGCATTTTTGAGTCGTTATAAACACTGAAATTCGAATTATTGTTTTGACAAATAAAGAATAATAAATTCAGTTTAACACAAATGTGATTATTAAGTGATATTTCTTCCATCTCTGGTGCAACTATGCACTTTTTGGCTACTGAAACAATAGTATTTTTTTTAATGTTTAACGTTAAATATTTTTTTAGTTATTGATTATAAACACCTAATAAAAGTAATAATTTTAGCAAGACAATTTAATAACCTCTTAAATGCAAAAAGAATAAATAGGGTGTTCTATTAAAATTTTTCAAGTTATTGAACTTTTAACAAACGCCTTCATTTTTTTATCTTTACAAATGCAACACACTACAAAAATGTTACAACCTTACAGCTTGTACCTTCTTCTTTGCAGTAGTAAAAAAATATTTTTAGTTGTCTTAGTTTTTGTGTAATAGATTTTAAAAAATTGCATGTTTTTGTCAAAAAACCGTCTTATTTTTAAAACTAAGCAAAATCGACCAATAATAGTTAAGTTTAAAAACAATGTCATAAAAATCTACATCCAAAAACGATAAGAAACATATGGTGTTTCATTAAAAAAAACACAAGTTTGTATAGTAACATATTTTTGAAACACGCTGTATAGTTGTAAATTTTAGGCGCTAGACAAGATTAGTATCTATCAATGTTATACAGGCTGTCCCAACGGTCCGAAAAAGCTCTATAACTTGTTTATTTTATGAGATATTAACTTTTTCTTTTTTTTTAGATTACACTTGCGTTTCTGCTGCACATTTTAAAAATATTGCGGTTAATATACAGGGAGTCCCAATATTAAAAAAACACTAAAGTTACGTTTTTTTAAATGGAATCTACTCAATATGATTTTATTTTTGGATTCTACGCTAAATTACAAATAACTTTTATAGAGGTTGTTTTCATTTATCTGTTATCAATTTTGATTTGTGGCGCTTTTTTACCAGAATTTTTGAAATGTAGGGGTCTGTCTAAAAATTCGTACCTTCTAAATGCTTGCACACAACTTAAAGTAAGTAACGCCGTCTGATTCCTGAATGTTTGCCGCATCTTTTAAGTGTTTACTCAACAACCTGCTCAGTGCATGTGCCTACTGCGATTTTTAAACATGACAAATTAAAAATGTCAAAAACTCATTTTTTTCAAATGGCACCCTCTATTTATTATTGTACCAATCAAAAGATCTTTTGACAAGCTTTCCATCAATATAAAGTTTGTATAGTCTAGTGTAAAATTCTAAGTTGCTATCCTAAATTAACTAAATTTTGAAAAACTTTTCTGTTTTGAACAATAAAAATAGAGTGAGCCTTATGCACATAAAACATTAGCACAGAAAATAAACAAAAGTATGGAATTGGAAATTCTTTGCTGCAAGAAAATGTACAATATTGTGCACAATTGAGTTACAGAGAAAATTAGGCAAAATCTAACATATCGCAAAGCAGTATTATCACAATTTAGTAGAAAAATGTAAAAACATTAATAAATAAATAAAAAAACAAAATATTAAAGCTATTTTACAATTTTCTTTATAACAGATGCTCAAAAATATTACCATTTTCTTCAATACAAGTATGCAGTCTTTGTCTAAAAGATAGTCTAACACGACTTAGCATATCTGCATTTATTAAATGGAATGTATCCGGTATTCTTTGTTTCATATCCTCCGCAGTTGTTGGTCTCAGTTTATACACATTTTTATACAATTTTTTAAATGCAGCACTTTGCGGCAGTCTTGCATTTGGGTATTTTTATTTGTAGACTCTTTGAGCCAATACAATATTATGATCCGCTACACCAAGACTGTATACCATGTTAATGAGTTTTTGATGAGTAAAATTCATTTTGGGACTTATAATCTTCACAAAAAAATTGACAGATTGCAACAACGAGAGAAGCCCACTCGATTTTTATTGTCCAAAACAGAAAAGTTTTTCAACATTTAGTTAATTTACAATAGCAACTTAGAATTTTACACTAGACTATACAAACCTTATATTGATGGAAAGCTTGTCAAAAGATCTTTTGATTGGTACAATAATAAATAGAGGGTGCCATTTGAAAAAAATGAGTTTTTGACATTTTTAATTTGTCATGTTTAAAAAATCGCAGTAGGCACATGCTACTGGGCAGGTTGTTGAGTAAACACTTAAAAGATGCGGCAAACATTCAGGAATCAGACGGCGTTACTTACTTTAAGTTGTGTGCAAGCATTTAGAAGGTACGAATTTTTAGACAGTTCCCTGCATTTCAAAAATTTTGGTAAAAAAGCGCCACAAATGAAAATTGATAACAGATAAATGAAAACAACCTCGATAAAAGTTATTTGTAATTTAGCGTAGAATCCAAAAATAAAATCAAACTGAGTAGATTCCATTTAAAAAAACATAACTTTAGTGTTTTTTTAATATAAGGAACCCCGTGTATATTAACCGCAATATTTTTAAAATGTGCAGCAGAAACGCAACTGTAATCTAAAAAAAAGGAAAAAGTTAATATCTCTTGAATAATAAAATTGTACAAAAATGTTGTTAAATTAATTACTTTCGAAAAATTTTACAAATAATTAAATATTAATTTATGTAATTTAGTAGCTTTAGATTTTGTTAATCAACATTAAAATATAATAAAGTTTTATAAAGAAGAAGAGTTCCGACAAATGACTTATGAAACAATTTTTTAATGATATTTTTTCTATTTTGCGCATTTAACGTATTTTTGTAATATAAAAGTCAATTTTTCAAAATTTAGGAGGAAATTAATAAGGTTGTGGTTGGTAATAAAAGACACAAAGTTTAAAAGTTTGATTTTCGAAGTGTCAAATCTCAAATATTTTTCAAAATTTTGTTAAATTAACAATGCAAATATTTCATGTACACCAGCTGAAAAAAAGAGAAATCGCTCAAAACGCCGCTGAAAATCACCATTACCAACCCCTAGAAACTAAATTGTACTAGACTATTTCAGCACCCGAATCGATGTTAAAATGGCTCATTAAAGCATCGGTTTTGGCTTTCTTTCAGACGCACAATAGATTTTTTTTTAATTTTGCACTTGTATGTTAATGGGCGATTAAATAACTAGACGCTCTCGCTACAACCAACACTAATACTAATTAATAAAAAAAATGTTTGAATCAGAAGTAAACTTAACTTTTGATTCTAATATTAACACTAATTAAAAACTCATTCATTCGTAAGTTTGTTACCAGTAATAATATTAATTTATTAAATAAGAAAATTACAATCTGAACTACAAACATTAATAGCGGCTTGTTTGTAGCTCACATCTTGATCAATTATATATCAAAGATCAATAAATTCTCCAAACTAAACAAAGAGCTTTATTGAGTACCTAAATAATAATTTATGTGCTTTAAGCTCTCCACGAAGCTGAATATCATCAAAGAGATTTAATGCATTGCCTAGCCTAGATCATCAAAGTCACAAGATTAAATAATCTTTATTAATTAATTAACAGACAATATTCAAGTTTTTTAGAATTGAAAAATTATCAAATTAGTTTTAGCCCCATTCACAGAACATAACTGCTTTGGAAAGGTGTTGAAGCATAACATAATTGCACAACGGTCTGTTTGTTTATTAATCTGTTTTTGTTTTGAACTATTGTTACATTCAATAATTCAAAAGATTTCATAAAAAGCTCAATCGTTTTCTAAAAATGGATCAAACATGTTTGAACAGACGTAAAACAAATAAATTTGTTATTGCCAGCAATGAATTAATTTTGGATGCATTTATCTGTGAAAAGACGCTCTCCCACTGCGCTGCTGTAGCGTCAGCTCCATTTTAATTCTCACAAATTGCTTTATTTATCGTCGATTAACGACATTCCGACTGGGAAACCGATAATCCGATTCCATTCCGCTGGTGAATTTCATCACATTCTTGGAAAGGAAACGGAACAAAGACGTTTATGAGAGGTAACAATCGTCTTAATCAGTGCGCAAGTGCAAACAATTATCCCTAATGAAAGATAACAAGAAATAAAAGAAACTCATCTCGGGAGTGAC